ATGTAGCTGCAAATAAATTCCTGCTGATTTTCAAATTCAAAATGAATCCAATGCGATTGCATTTCCCAGATTTCTTGTGACGCAAAATCTTATTCCAAAACTCCAAATTTTGATAGCAAAGCAATGATGCATGACAATTTGCCAACAAGAATATATGGTTTATACAGATGTTGGACCCCTAATTAATGGGCCAAGCCGGTAACTAAGCGTGCGCACGTGCGTGCATATGTGTGAGAGAAGATCTGTCGGTTGGGTGGAGATTGGAGAGTGAGGTTCAACGAGGTTTCAATCCCCTAGCCTAATTTCATGTTAACTATTATCTTATGCTTTGCTCTTGTTTGTTATCATGTCACCACCAGAGGTGTGTTCATGTATTTCTTAGAAAATCAGAGGATGTTGCTCTGTTTTCTTTCATGTAAATAATACTAAGCGTGCGCACGTGTGCGCATATGTGTGAGAGAAGATCTGTAGGCTGGGTGTATATTGGAGAGTGAGGTTCAACGAGGTTTCAATCCCCTAGCCTAATTTCATGCTAACTATTATCTTATATTTTGCTCTTGTTTGTTATCATGTCACCACCAGAGTTGTGTTCATGTATTTCTCAGAAAATCAGAGGATGGTGCTCTGTTTTCTTTCATGTAAATAATACTAGATTTCAGAGTTTTCCATGAACAAAAGATTAGCGGAGATTGCAAACAGACTTCAATCCTGAGATAAGTGTTTGCTTGGGTACATCGGATCATGGATCTACTTCCTAACAATTTAAAATTCTTTCCTGAGATAAATGTTTGCTTCGGTACATCAGATCATGGATCTACTTCCTAACCATTTAAAATTCTTTGGCAAAGCTGAAAGCTAATCTACAGAACGGCATCAACCAGCAGGAAAAATTATGTTCATATAGAGAATATACACGTAGCTGCATTCGAATATTTCAGCAGAAAAAAAATATATTGAGTTCAGAATCCTGAAAAGAACATGAAATGATTAGAACAGTTGTCCAACCACAATTAACATTGCAAACGGGAAGTTTATATTTTCAAATTCTGAATTGTAAACTGTATCAAATCCTGAAATTCATGAGCAACGTGAAAACAACCTGCAAAATTTATTAGATGTGCGAGCGTGCATAAATCAATTATAAGTCTTCTATTGATTAAGGTATATTGCAAGCAATATCCCAACCAATAATATGTCTGGCTTTCAATTTCGGAGGGGCATGGCAGGTGATAACAGCCGAAACACTCAGCGGAAAAATTGAAAAATGCGACCTTTGTACTTGCTATTGCATCATCCTGACCGCTATGATTAAAACATCTAAAATAATTAATCCGACATAACGGTAAGCTTCTGGGTACAGACTTCAGCAAAAGGACTGAACTATAGACAAGACTAATTCATCAAATAGTACCATGCTGTACTGATTGTACTAATGGTCTGCCGAGATACATGCCTAGAGCATTTGTTAATCATGTGAAGCACATTTTAACTGAAGTCTATCCCAGAAACAAAAAGACAATGACTTTCATTCAAGTACAGCTTCCTTTTCCAAAACCCGTGACTACGCAATGCCTAAAGCTATTGGCATAATACAGTGATAGCACAGATGACTGCATCGTCTACACACTAAACAATCCTGATACTAGTTAAACGCCATGACTGTTTCTTCTAGTTTGCAGTACTTTTTTGAAAGAATCTGAACTGGAACATGATCACTCAAAAAAACTAGATTTCTGTATCTCGGCACAGGGCTCTTTTGCCTCTTTTATGTTACCTCTCATGGCACCAAGTAGTTTGCCAAAATTGCAAGCAGAACCTAATAAAGAACCGTGAGAAACCACATCAGGACAGATCCATTTAAAACCGTCTCTTCCTTAAGAGGTAAGCATCATAAAAGTTTTCGAACTTCACTTGAGTCGAACCCCAAAACCAAAGAGCCTGAACCCTAGCTCCGTTCTTAATGATAGGCCATATAGTAGAGGCAACTAAACTGGTATTCCTTCATCATCATCATCATTTAATATTTTTTCGAAAAGCACTTTAGCTTCCTTCATAAGAATTTTTCCCACACAATGAATGTACACGTTACATGTAACCCTGCCCGGCTGAATGCTAGCATGAGCTGTGGTGCAAAACAGGTAGAGAGATTTATCTAATTTTTTAAAAAGGCAATAACCCTGTATAAATGTTTTGTAGTAGGCACATTTGGGAGAGGGGCTCGGTTCTAGCATCTGTATAATAAGCCAATCTGCCTCCCCCCTTAGACCCATTTTAAAGTGGCCATTAACAAGATGGTTGTGGGTAAATACATCAGCAAGAAAACGTTCTGCACCATTTTACTCTGAATCTGTAAAGCTGCTACCTACTTACCCCTAAGCACAAAAAGCTAATGATGGTTGTGCATTCATTGCCAAAGATGTTCTTTTCCCACAAAATTCATGTAAGAAACAAGCGCAATTCATTTCCGAATTTATACCATCTCCCATTTAAATGCTCATGCATACAGAAATATGGGATAATTATAGCATGTTAGAATTTATTCTAGATTAAGATTATTGCCGGTACACACTCCATATTTTGTGGAGTAAGGAGGCACATCACAAAGAAGAGAGTAGTAGGTACAAACCATTGGCAAAAATAGTTACAGTAACAACTCCCCATAGATATTGATATGTAACTCTAATACTTTTATATAAATACAAGATGGGATGAATGAAGTTCCAGGGAAATAGCCCAGCAATATTCGTAGTACTTACTACAGTGATGTTGACCATGTTCCTTGTCTCACAAATACCTTAGTTTATGATATCAAATCCCACGTCATCATCTGCAGATGCTATATACTGTCCTTCAGCATATTATCCAATGCATCAAAAACAGCTCGGCAGCATTCTCATCACCAAAATTCCGCTCTTGACTATTCAGTATCTAAGTGGTACTCTTTTCCCATATTTGACCCAAGAAAATCATATTTGGCGGGAAGCAGAAAATGTTATAAAAAATCTGACCAAAAATCATGCTTGAAGCACTCAAAACTCCGGTAACAAAATCTTAAGAAAGCAATATGTACTAGCAAGAAAGGGATTCTCCAAAGGCAACAAACAGCTAAGACGCCCAAAACAAATTAATCACAAGGCTACACAAAATCAACATGCAGGGCATAAGCTGTCCATATACAAATTCAAGCTAAATTGCTGATAAACAGTGAATATAAACATTGATAATGAGCTAAACAACAAATAATACGAAAAAAATATACATATGTAAGAATGTTCTATAAATGTGAACAGAAAGATGCATAATGTTGCACAGCATAAGTTGCGCGTGTTACATAGAGAACCAATTAATAAATGGATAGGGATTCAAATCCTAAAGAAAAATGTAGCAGAAGAGGAAGTTGTAAGGAGCCAGACACACACTCATCTTCATCTTAATTGGATGTCAAAGGATATTTGTGTTTGATGCACGGCGATTCAAGATGCCCATGGGTATTCAAGATACCAAGGGGCATAGTTGACGCTGTTTTGGGTGGCCTCATAAACCACTTTAAAGCCATGAATGTCTCACATACTTGAATCGTTAAACTCAATCGAGAAATGAAACTAATATTTACCAGGATTTGAATTCAGTTGCTTTAGTTTATGCATCCAAGTAAAGACTGAAAAAGAATAACGTAACGAACTGTATTACCATCAATGGAAAACGCCTGACCCGAATCCTCTCTCTTTCATGGTTTCAAAAGCTAAATCTGCAATGTGAGTGAGCCGCAGCCCAGATAGCCTCCGCTCATCGGACCTGTTGCCCACGTTTCAAACTTAACACCGTGGCAAGGGATCGGTATAGAGAAGAAGAAGAAGAAGACGACGCATTACAGAACAGGTTTCTTGTCTGAGCGGAACGAGGGAGATGAAAATTTCAGAACAGAGAAGCGCGGTTTACGCAGCGTTATGTAACTTATGTTCACGCTATTGGATTTTGTGCAGATGGAGCTCCGGCGCACTTGGGTCCGAACGGGCCCGTATAAATATTTGAGTATGATATAAAATTATAGGGAATGATAGATTGTATAAAGTTGAGAATTTGTGCTGGTCAAAAAAAAAAAAAAGTTGAGAATTTGTGAATTTTCTGAAATTTTTATTTTTAAGGAAGAGAGAGAAAATTTTATGTTTTATAAAAAATAATAAATGATACAAATATTATATAAAAGGGAAAACACTAACAAGAATTGATAAGGAGTCAGTTTATAACCCACAAAGTCGTAAGTTTGAATCTTATTATCAATGTGAGGACCTTGTTGATAGGTGATTTTGAAGTCTAGAAGCATATCCTGGTCTTGGTAAATCCCTGGAACTTAATTCACCTAAACTTTTTTATTATAAAAGAAAACGATAAAAGGGAAAACTCCATTAAAATTTATAGATCTCAACTTCTGGTAGGATTTGTTCTCAAATTTATACAATGCATGAGCAACGCTTGTTAGCTGGTTTGGATATGCTTTTTTAGGTATTTTATAAACATGTTTCATGTAATTCATAATAAAATTTCTCTCACATATTTTATTTCATAAATCATGATTAGAGATAAAAAAAAATTTCTTACTATATATCAGAATATGTACAAAAATGGATGTAGAATTTTCTTGTTATGTAATTATATATGTGACCAAGTAAAAAAATCAACTTGAGTAAATTTAATTGGGGGGAATTTCCACTACTAATGGCACGAAAAAATTGAAAAAAAATTAGTCCAGACATTTTTTCGAGAAAAATCATTTCTGTTGTTTTAAATACTCTAAACAAACCTTGAAATAGAATTTCTTATACAGCAGCCATTACATTACTATAAAAATTAAAGTTACAAAGATTAATTTTCTTTAAAAAAAAATAACAAACGACAAGAAATTAAAACATACACCTTACAAATACCTTTCTTTTCTTTTCTTTTCTTTTGTTTTTTTTTTTTATAACCACAAACACCTTTCTTAACCAAGGCTTTTTCCCTCACACAATTTGATTGTGATGTCCATTCCTCATTTCTTCCTCCTTATTTTCATAATTCCCTTCAACATTTTTATAAACATACCTCTTAGCAACAACCACATAAACACCCAAATTCAAAACCCCTATCCCAGCAAGCAAAAAATAGTAATAATCCAAATGTGACCTATTCAAATTATTCCCAAGCCATTTCCCTTTGCTCGCTCCTTCCACAATAGATATAAGAGCACTACTCATAAAGTTTGCAACACCAGCATTTGCAAGATGAAATGCAGCCCCAATGCTTCTCATGGCCTCTGGCATTTGATCATAGAACAAATGTTGAGTCCCTACAATACAAAGAGCATCCACAAACCCTAGCAAAATATACTGAGGAATTAACCACCAAACCCTAATTGGTATTATTGCTTTTGGACTGTCCAAGAGATTGTGATCGCTTGCTGTTTTAACCCTTTTGGACTCTACTAGGGCAGCCACAAGCATGGTTAGAACAGAAAAGAATAAGCCAATTCCTAGTCTTTGGAGTATTGTGATACCTGTGGGTTTGCCAGTGAATTTTCTTATCATAGGCACAAGAATTCTATCATAGATAGGGAGGAAGGTGATGACGACGAAGCCGGCCACACATTGGAGTGTTGCCGGTGGGATGACGAAGTTATTATTAGATCCTATGGATCTCATCATTGTACTGCCTTGTTTGGTGAAGAAGGTTGACATTTGAGCATGGACGAAACTAAAATACAAGCATGCTAGCCATACTGGTATGAGGCCAAGAACTTGCTTCATTTCTTCAACTTGGTTTAATGAACATAGCCTCCAAGGATTTCTGGTGTTGCTTGATGCATCAATATCATCAATTATCATTGCCTTCTCCAGAAATCTGAAACATGTCAAAAGTAGTAGTGTAAAAACTTTGTCTCATATGTTGTACATGAGAAATACGGCCTCTAGTTCTTAATATAATAAGCATCAGTTAAGAGTTGAATTTGGTTATGAATATAACATTTTAATTCACTTTATCTCTTAAGTTTATAATTTTTTCTCCAAAATATTCTTATTGATTGTCAATGTTCCTATCAAAAGATAGTTCCAATGCATATGATTAAAGAGAATAATTTAGAAAAGTCAACTCATATTTTTTTTTACAAATAATCAACTTAACTAATTTTCTTAATTTTGCTAAATTAATTATCTAGTTATTATATTAAAAATTGGAGGTAGTGTGAAATATTATTTCGAATCAAATTAGATCACCTAAATCGCTGGGTGCGAGATGAAGTTATAGCTTGAGTCTCCACATCTATATTTCCATCCATGTTTGTATCTCCAAAGAAAACTCCTTTTCCATGGCGGCTCTCATCGACGCCCCTCTTTCGGACCGCCGCTACTAACACTTGAGCTGCCGCCGTGAAAGGACTTCCCAATGGCCCTTGTTTTCTGTACTTCTTTATACCGACCAGAAAAAATACAAAGGCCAAAGCCAAAGCTGTCGCTAATATTGCAAACCCTGTGGCCCATCCAACATTGTCCTGAATAATGCATATGTAAAATTTAATCCAGCAGAAGATATAATAAAATACTGGAAAATTAGCATTTGAATAGAAGTTAAATCAAGGTTTAATTTAATCACCTGGACATAAACAACCACCAAAACTGCAGATACAGAACCAATGTTAATTCCTAGGTACCACCAATTGAAGAAAGAGTTCTTGGCCATTCTCTCTTGTGGGGATCTTTCATCAAACTGATCTGCTGCAAATGTTTGAACACAAGGCTTGTGTCCTGATTCTCCTATCACTAATATGTAAAGCGCTATGAAGAAGACTATCTCTCGAACGTGCAATGGAACCACCGACACTGATAGGGTCAGCAAAACCATTCCCTGTGTAAATATATTTCATCAAACTCGTTATCCAAAGGCACACTCAGGTTCAAATTATGGCTAATTGAAGACAAGAAAGTTAGTGTAAACAAAGTGTATAAGTTCTTTCAATATAAATCTAAGGGTTAAAGTTCATTTAAAATGCACCCTGAAATATTTATTTTCAAGCACATCCAACATTTTGAAATACTTTTTTGGACCATCCAACACTCTAAAATATTTAATTTTTAGATGCATCCAATACCCTAAATTAAAGGTGCTACTGAAAAAAAACTTTAGATTGTTAGACGCATCTGCTGTTATTAAGTGGAATCGGAGAATACCACTTCCTTCCATAGTATTCTCTAATTCCACATACATGGGTTTGACTAATCCTATATACCAAGCAATCTCTTATACTAAACACTCTTTTAATAGATTTTCTCAATTGCAATCTCAATCTCAATCCCTTATTTTTAATGCTTCCTACCAAATGTAATCTTGGTACGCTCTTGTCTTACTAGTACTAGTCTTGTCTGTTTTAGTAGGATATGTTTTAGCCACCACTGCAGTTGTCGCTCTGTTAGAAATTGAATCACTAACCACAGTTGGAAGGTGCTATTGACTCAAAGCGATAGATCACCTTCACTTAAGGGGCTTTTTGAGAGCTAACAATAAGATTAAAGTTGCTCCTAACAAAATATTTCAAGGGAAAAATTACTTCTAAAAATGAATATTTCAATTAAGGGAAAAATTATTTTCAAAAAAATAATAGTTTAATTAAGAAGAATATTGCACAACAAAATATTTTGCGATGCTCAACGCAGAAGGAAAAATACATCACGGTGTGAAATGGACAACAAAGTACTTCAAGATGTTAGATAAACATTAACCTTAGATTTAATGTTGCCTGTATGTATGTCAAACTCAAATAATATGATATACCAGGAAATAGATGATGGAAGAGAAGATGATGGTGATGAAGCGGCCAAGGTAGGAATCAGCAATGAAGGCTCCAAGCAAAGGGAACATGAAGGAGAGTCCAACCCAAATGTTGACGTTTCTTGCAGCAATGGGTGTTGGCTGTTGCAGAACATTGGTGAGGTAAGTTATCAAGTTCCCACTCAACCCATAAAACGCAAACCTCTCTGCCACCTCCACAACTGCATTTTCAAGTTAAACCAATGTGAGAGTTAGCATTTTGCCCTAACGACATAAAAAGCACTTAAAAGAAAATCTTCATGTATAAAATGAGAAAAAACTGGCAATACTCGAATCCAACTCAATCAGATAGCTATGAAAAAGAAAAGGAGCTTACAAATGATGAAGATGGCAGCATTCCAGCCACCTCTAGAGGGTTTGTGATCACAAATAGAGTTGGCTTCCATTGGAGCTGTGGTGCTATCCATGGCTGCTTAGCTATATGGACCCACACAGAGAATGAGATGAAACTTGGTGGTCTTGTGTTTACTCAAATATACATTTGCTTCCTTTAGTATATATAATATATTTATATATGCGATAGATGCCCATGGCTTTATAATAATTTATGCATGGTAACCCCAAAACCATATCAAGTATAATATCACTCTCTGAAAAGAAATTGGTAAAGTTAATAACTCGTGCATATCCAGAAGCCTGTATAGGTAATGCAAATCTACTTTGAATTATTTATATTGAATTTGGGAGATTAGAATAAGAAAAAAAATTAATAAAATATATGAATTATATTTTCTAAACTTTGATATGTGAGCATTTGAGATTAGATGTACAGAAAATTCAATCGGGCAAAATTGCAGAAATTTCATTCATGTATTTTTGCTTTGTGTTTGTTGATTGGATTGATATACAGATGTATCTGAGATGATACATGTACCGCATTTCACAATATCACATAACATATTTTAATATTTGTATTATTTGTCTTTCTTTTCTTTGAAATGATGCCAAATAATACAGATGTAATACGATTCACCATTAATCAAGGAACCATTGAGTCATGATTAATTATTTAGGATTTGTAAATAATATAACTTACTGGAAGAAAGATACGATTTGCAAGTGTTATCTGGATGAGTTTTAATTTTATGAACATTCAAAGTCATTTTAAAAGATTGAATAGCATAGCATCATTACAGAAGGTTTGTTTTCTTAGCTTGACTAAATTGAGATAGCTCCTGGGAAATTTTGTTTTTTAAAATATAGGCTGCACTCCTGATTGAAGATAGTAATAAAAAGAATTTTAATTTTAACTTTTTATAGAATATTTTATTTAAAAACAAAAATAGATAAATTAGACGATGTTGGTTAAATTTTAGATGAATAAAAAACATATTTATTATTACCTGAATAGTCATAATCGAATGGAATATTACTTAAACAAATCAACCTAAAAATCTTAAAAATAAAGAACAAATGGATATACACGAGAATAAAATATTCCAAATGAAAAGTGAAGTCATGAACAGATATTATATGAAAGCCCCTTAGCCCAAATTCAATACCAAAACAGCACAAATCACTGCATGACAAATTGTATCATTTCCAAGATATAACTTATTCAGTGTGCGCATGAATATCTGTGTAATAATCAGATAATAAATTTGTCCATAAAAACAAAAAATAAATACTTCATGAATAAAGTTTAATATATTAAAATGATAATTCAATCTAAATATATGAAAAAAAAATTTGATACAGATCATCATGAGCACCTGTAGTCCAAATCAAATCAAATACTAGCAGCTAAATAATTTTCATCTTTTTATTTCACTCACCCTATGGAATATATTTTTATTGAGAAAAGTGTACATAATATGACACTCCAAAAATAGCTATCAATTTCTCAAAAAAGAAAAAATAAAGCCATTGTTTCAAGGCTTTGTGTTAGGGTAATTTTGTGGGGCATTTCGGTAAACATACCGCTTAGCAACAAAAGCAAAAAGACCTAAATCCAAAAACCCCAACACAGCAAGCAGAAGATAGAACAAATCAAGATGAGACCTATTCAGAAAATTATTCCCAAGCCATTTCCCTTTTCTTAAAACCTCCAAAACATGTATAATCCCACTACTTATGAAGTTCCCAATCCCCACATTACAAATACAAAACACAGCTCCCAAACTTTTCTTAGCCTCTGGCAATTGATCATACAGAAAATGTTGAAGCCCCACAATCCCAAAAGCTTCAGAAACCCCACACAAAATGTACTGAGGAATCAACCAACAAACCCTAATTGGCAATATTGCCTCTGAATTGTCCAAGAGATTGTGATAACTTGCTAACTCAACCCTTTTGGCCTCAACTAGGGCGGCCACAAGCATGGTTAGAACAGAGAAGAATAGGCCAACGCCTAGTCTTTGAAGCATCGTGATGCCAGTGAGTTTGCCGGTGAATTTTCCGACGAGCGGGACAAAGAGTCTGTCGTAGATTGGGATCATAAGGATGATGGTGAAGCCTGTGATGCATTGGAGTGATGCTGGTGGGATGATGAAATGGCGATGGTGGGGTCCAATAATAATGGATCGAACCATTGTGCTTGCTTGTTTGGTGAAGAAGGTTGAGAGCTGAGCTAGGGCTACACTATTATACAAGCAGGTTAACCATATTGGGGTCAAACGTAGGACTTGCTTCGTTTCTTCCACTTGGTTTAATGAACATAGCCTCCAGGGATCTCTGGTTTTTCTTGATGCATCAATATCGTCAATTATCATTGCTTTCTCCAAGAATCTGATTCAGTGAGAAGTATCATATTCAATAGATTTTTCAACACATTATATATGAGATCTTGTCTAAGGAAAAGTTTTTAAATTTAGTTCACAAAAAGATATATATATTTATATAGGGTTAAGGTGTAAAATTTTCCTTGAAGTTTTTACTTATGAGTGTTGGGCACCTAAAATTTTTTTTGGATTCAATATTACTTTAGAAGTTTAATATCGTAAAAATTTTCCTCCTATCGTTAAAAAATTGACATTGACTATTAATATATTGATATCGTTTATTAAAATTTTAATGGTGAGAACAAAATTGCTACGGTTTAAAATTTTTGGGGCAATAGTGAACCCCAAAAAAAAATTGTGTATCTAGTGCTTCTCAGTAAAAATTTAGCAAATTTGTATCTTTGCCCAATATATATATATATATATATATATATCTTTTTTCCTTTGCCAAAAGCGTGTGTATCATCTGGAACCCAATATATATAAATGCTTTTTTTGTCCTCGCCAAACTCACAAGTATAAAATTTTGATTTGTCCTAAATTTATAAAATGAATTAATATTTATAGACGAATAATTTTATTATAATATATATCTAAATGCATATTTTAGTTAAATACATATTGAATACGTATAATTTATATATGCATATGATCTGTGTGGGTGAGAATATTAGGTTGTTGTAGTTATTTTTCCTGGTAGGATTAAATAGTATAATTATATTATCTCAATAAATTTTGACTCTAGGAGAGGTTTATGACTTTTAAATACCAAAAGAAAATATCTGCAATTTAGATAAAATGAAGGGAGACCAGTATACATAATTTGAGTGATATTTCATTTTCGTACCTAAACTTTTTGGTCCCAGAAAAAGTCATATATTCAGACGCAACAACATCTCCATAGCAAACACCTCTTCCATGGAGCGTCTCATCCACGCGCCACTTTCTAGCGGCGGCTACTACCACCTGAGCCAGCGAAGTGAAGGGACTCCCGAAGGGCACTTGTCTTCGATACTTGTTCATGCCACACAAGAAGACAGCAAATGCAACGGCCACAGCCGCCGCCAATATGCTGAACCCGATGGCCCATCCAACGTTATCCTATATGCATAGCATGAAATTCCAATGAAGAGAGTTAAAAAAATTTGGAAGGACCAACAATAATATATCAAATTAATTTTGTTAAATTAGTTCATCTAGATTCTTTGGGTCCGGAGGAAGTATGAATAGACACAACAGACATAATTTGACTCTCATTCTGTTCCAATTCGAATTCCAAATATGTTCCTGCAAAAATCATTCCCTTTTTTTTTGGTTGAGTTTAGGATATCTACTGTTAATAGTAATGATTAATTCCCTTGCACTGTAGACTTTTGTAAGAGGCTTTAGTGCTAGTCACAAGACCCTCTCCATACACACCGCTAAAAATCAAATTCCTGACTAGATGATTAAGAAACTCAGCTAAGTGCTAACGGTGCTAGGCCTCATGACCATATATCAAGTAGGATCCAAGTGTCATTCTGATGTTTTCAAATCTTGCTATCAATATGAGGACGCCATTAGAGTGATTTTCAAGTATTGTGTTAGCAAGCATATGACTCATTAGAGTTTGAGTGCACGATTTCAAATTGTATTATTTAATGGAAGATGATGTGTATGGAGAAGAACGATATACCTGGACATAAATAACAATGGAGAGGGCAGAGACATGAGCAATTATAGATGCGAAGTAGAACCAATTGAAGAAGGAGCTCTTAGCCATTAATGACGACTCTTCAAATTGATTCACTGCAAATGTTTGAACTATTGGTTTCTGCCCTGCTGCGCCTATTGCCACTATGTAAAGTGCCAAGAAAATCACTGCCTTTCCGCTGTGCAAAGGAATTACTGATACTGATAGTGTCAACAAAATCATTCCCTGTGCAAAACATTTATATGAACAAAGTTGTGGAGTTAGGAAATCATCCAATAATATATTTCTTCCGACCTTTAATATAAAAACTAATTAACTAATTTAGGTGAAACAAAGTAGTAGATCAAAGTCGTATATATTTAGAAGAAAATTTAACTGACCAACTAGCATTAATTTGGAGGGAAAATGATAAGTATGATAGATAGCGGGAAATAAAATCTTATATTTAGAACTAAATTTAATCTACCATTTAGCTCATATACAAAGGACAAGGAGGAGAAACTTATTCCTCAGCCTTTGTGCAGGCCAGTTTGAATTAAGCATACTTACTAAGAAATAAATGGTGGAAGAGAAGATGATGGCCTTGGAACGGCCAAGGTAGGAATCAGCTATGAAGGCTCCAAGTAAAGGGAAGACGAAGGAGACCCCAACCCAAGTGTTGACGATCTTAGCAGCTGCCGATGTTGTCTCTTCCAAATCATTGGTCAAGAAAGTTATCAAGTTCCCTGTTAAACCATAGAATGCAAATCTTTCTGCCATCTCCACAACTGCGTTTCAAGGTTTTTATGCGTCAAAAGGGTTTGAAAAATTCTGGATTTGTGCAAGAGTGAGTATATATCAGTTACATCTAAGAGCCACATACTGTTTATGGCTCTTCAATTAATTTGACCAGGCTTCCAACAATATTATAAGCATCAGTTTTAATTTGTTCAGGTTAATATTCAAATATCACACGCATGCCGAATACATATGTGTGCAGAGACTTCTTTTTTTT